TGCCTCTATAGATAGCACAACTGATGTCACCATCCATCTGGAGTAACACAATTGAGCAAATACGCTCAATACAGATCTTAATCACAAACTTACTATTCTTAAAACAAAAAGCAAATACTTGCAGCTAACGTGTAAATTAACTTCTGCTTCAGAATGTGTCAAGTAGTTCCAAAATCAAGCTCCATCTCCTAATCTGAAGTCAAATGAACCTTGTCAAAAATTGCCAGCAGAAAAGAGACCCCTAAAAGCCCTACAAAAGCAAACGCACAATCACTCACATATCAAACTTGTCCAAGAAAGAGGAACAAAGTATATCAAACTGAAAAAGTGGCATTCACATTCCTGCATACATCTACCCTACAATTCAGGTACTGTACATCTAAGGGAAATAATGACCCTTGTTTGTATGCTCATGCTATTAATTATACTAAAAATAACTTCAAAAAATCAATTCAGATCTCTCAAACAATCACTACATGTGTTGCAGATGCTTCTGACTTACTTCTACAGCTGGTGGAAAAGGAAAGCAGAAAAGATACATGCAAAAAACTATTAACAAAGTCTAATGCTGACTTGCAGTACACAACTGCTCTCTTCCAGACAAGCAGACATGAACCTAAAAATTGTAACATCACCTGCAATATAGCAAAGAAGAAAATCAAAATCACATCTGTTTACTGACATGCAATTAATACAAACTTACATCCATCTCTGGACTTTTCTATTTGTTCTCGAAGAAATCTATCTTTGTGGAGATTAACATCGCCAAACCAGAAATCCACCTGTTTAGCTATATCTGCAAGCACCTGTTTAACCCTCGACCTCTTCTTTTTCTCCCTCTCTTTCTTCTGCTCAGTGCTTTCCTCTTCCATGGCTTTGTCTCTTGCAGCTTCAGTCTCCATTCCCGTCATTCTGTCAATCGAAAGTTAAATACAACCTTTGAGAAAATCAAAGTAATGTTACGGCATGGAACAAACACTGCACCTCCACACAGTAATTTTCAGAAATTTTATCACATGTTAAGGAGCTTAGCTTTATGCATTCCCTATAATAACACGTGCCATTCAATACTGCGTAGTGTAGAAAATCACCAAGTACAGAGAAGGTGAGAAACTTCAGGTCACAGAATAACTGTGTGGTGAAGACTAAGCTGAAACCCAAGTCTCACAGCTCCCTGCAATGCCTTCTAGCCACAGCAATTCACTGCAGGCAGGCTGCTGCCAAACCACAGTCTTCCCATTGAAAATTTGTTCTATTTTGTTAATCCAGAATGCTTCATGAGCAGCCTGCTCTTCCCATTAGATTACTAAAGAAAGCTTTTGAATTTCAGCAAGTCATGACATCTACAGTTTTTATTCATTGTCAGAAAAGCAAGGCTATTAACAAATATGTTACTGAATTACTTGAAGTACCTGTGGAGAAAATTAAATGTCCTTCAATAAGGCAAATTCCTCATTAGCAGAGAAGGAAACAACCTGTTAAAGGAAGCTTACAAAATCCATCTAAAAGTAGATCTTTGTCCCCTCAATAAATACATTTTCTTAGAGCTGAAAAAGGACAGAAATCACTTGATCTTTACACCTTCCCAAGTGTCCCCGTACAAACCATGAGAAAGACCCCCCCCCCCAAAAAAAAAAAA